TTTTCTGCTATTCTTCCTTCTTGTAATTATTAGAGCTATTCTCCCCTTTTTCTGCTGGTCGTTATTGCTGGTACTCTTCTTTCTTGTTCGTGCAATTATCGATCGAAGAGTGCTAGATGCCAATTCGGTGCGGAATTACGGCTGCTTCTTTGTTATTTCTACTACTCTTCCTTCTTGTTATCCCTTTTTCTCCTGGTCGGTATTGCTGCTACTCTTCTTTCTTGCTTCTTTGTTATTTCTGCTACTCTTCCTTCTTGTTAACCCTTTTTCTCCTGGTCGTCGGTATAGATGCTACTCTTCTTTCTTGTTCGTGCAATTATCGAAAGTGCTAGATGGCAATTCGGTGCGGAATTACGGCTGCTTCTTTGTTATTTCTGCTACTCTNCAATTCGGTGCGGAATTACGGCTGCTTCTTTGTTATTTCTGCTACTCTTCCTTCTTGTTATTACTACCGTACTAATAGTGCTCCTCTCCCCTTTTCCCTGTTCTTGCTACTATCTCAGCGGATTGCTCATTCGACTTTAAATCTTCCTCTTCGTCCTCCTGTTCATCGACATCCTCGAAAACGTCAACAAGAATACACAGAGGGAGACCACCATCTCTCCTTGTTATTCTTGCGGCCAATCGTCCTTCCCGCTATTATCGCTACTACCGGTAGTCTTTAATTTGATTTGAAATCTTCCTCTTCGCCTTCCAATCCCCTCCACCTCCACATGCCGCCCCGCCCCCTCCCCCTCCACCCCCGCAGTGCAGGTTGCCAGTAACAATGGAGGTCTCAAGGACTGAACCGACCGCAGAACCAGCAACAACAACGCGGCAGGAAACTGAGGACAAACGGCGAGAGGTGGGATCGGTAAACCACTACAGGGACCAGCAATTGTCCTCAATTGACGCCAACAGAAGCCACAACAAAAACACAGGAAGCAACAGACAGCAGTATCGCTCCTACCGGTAGTCTCTAATTTGATTTGAAATCTTCCTCTTCGCCTTCTTCTGCATTACGTGGCATGAGGTCATCACCCTCATCTCACGGACGTCAAAGATAGACACACAGAGAGGACAGAGAGAGACGCAACAGCTAGACGAAGAGGATTCCAATCCGTAGGCAGGCGAGAGTCGGAAATAAGTCTATCTTGAAAAAGGAGGACAAAAAAAATAGAGAAAAGAGAAAAGAGAGTCGTAGCAAGAAAAAAGAAAAGAAAAGAGAAAGACGAGGAGCCTGGGTAATCTCTGCAAGTGCTCACTACCGGTAGTCGAATAACACCAGGTACTAGTAATATACCTTTTTGGACAGTTAGTTCACAACAGTTCACTACCGTCTGGCTTCTAAAGATTATCACTTTGGAGACGAAATAACACTGTCGTCTTGTTTCACAGACACCCAGAGGAATTTCGTACGCATCCTCATTCGTACGACGTCTGTCGTTTCCAAACATGGACGATGACGTTAATGATACTCCAACAAGCAGTCTGAAACAGAAGGGTCATCACAGCCGATGAGGATACCATAGCATTCTTCGATCACTCTCGCCCAAGAGCAGGTTTCTTCGTAACGATCGGGACGACAGGTATATGTTCAATTGATACAAAATCATAACTAAGGCATGCCGCAGGAGGCGATCCTCTCTCTCTCTCTCTCTCTCTCTCTCTCTCTCTCTCTCTCTCTCTCTCTC